TTTTTAAAAGTCAACACTTCAATGCGCGTTTGACTGGGGTTATAAACAAACTCCTTATAAATGGACTAAAATTATGTTCCAATTTATATTTGAAAATATTGAATAAATATTGTTCTAAAAATAATAATAATAATAATGTGTATATATCATAATGTCAGTTATATACGTGTCTTGTAATTGACAAAATATACTAGAATGTAATGGTTAATAATATTGTATTAATTCCCAAATTAAAATAATGTTAGATTTTAGGTTCTCCCAATTAATATTTGAATAATGATAAGAGATTTCATATATTTCAGCGAGCCCATATGATATTTCCGCTCTAAAATTTTTTAAATAAATAAATTTCATCATTTTATTTTACTACAAGATGCTAACGTTGTCTTTAGCCGTATGAGATATACAAAAACATCTTATAGTTTTGTGGAAAAATATAATCAAGATTTTTATAATATAATTTTGTTTTTGTATGGATCAACTGAATAATATGACTTCTAGGATTCTCAAGAATAGTTTTTACATATTCACAATGTTTTGTTCAAAGTTAATGTATAATGACTAGTGCGCATCCCGTGCGATGCACGTACCAACTTTGTTACTTAAAATATTTTTTAGAACTTTATGTTAAACATATTTATCTATATTTAACATTTTATTATTGCAAGAAAAGAAATACAAAGTACGATATTATATATTTGAATATAATGAGTGTCTTTAACTAAACCAATAACACTCAACACATGATATATGATAAAATTAATTATATTAATACTCATGCTTTTTAAAAATAAAATAAATATATTTAATAAATATGAGATACTTAAGATTGGCATTAAAATTAATTATTTTGGTTATGAGATGAAAAATGGATGTGAACAAGAACATCGGTACCAAGATCCACGTATTATGAGATTCTTTCTAAACTTTAAAAGATTTTGTAGTTAGATAAATATGGACAAAAAATCATCAATTAATTTTAACAATTCGACAAATAATTAATTTCTAAAGTTAACATTCTTTATTAAATAAAAAAAATTTAAATTGTGACCATAAAATATGAGATTAGCAGATAGATAAATATGGACAAAATAAAAATATTAAACAATTAAGTTGACATAACTTTTCTGAAAGATTTAAAAAATTTCAAACGTATTATTGGTTAAATGATTGACCGAATTTTTGTAACCATATTTACACGTTTGTCCGAAAAATTTAAGTAAATGATTGATTAGATTTTTTTGATTGCACAATTTTCAAAATTCTTTCTCATTATTGGTCAGATTTACCGCGTATCATTTAAAAAAAATTATTGCTTGTGTTTTTAAGAATTAAGGTTTACAATATCTTTCTCAAATATTTTTTTTTTAATATTGAAACCAGGTTTTCATTCAGCCCCTATTTTCCAAAAAGAAAAAAAAAAAAATGAATAGTAACTTTAAAAATGTTAAGCAGGAATTTTAATACTATTACAAGTCAATATCTGTCTCTCTCTTTCTATTATATAGTAATAGATTTCCATCTATATTAGGTAATTAATGTTTTTGACGATAAATGTTTCTAAAAATGAATTAACCTAATTCTTATTTTATACATATACAACTTTTTTTTAAAAAAAATTTCAATAATAATTTTTCACCCTTATATAATATACGTTTCATATACAAATAATAAGTTTTAATTTCACACTTAATACTATAATATTAATTGTCAATTATCAATCATAAACTTATTTTCTTATGACGGATGTAATTTATTATTTTAGATAGATTTAATTTTACTAAAACAAGTACACATAATTATTATTTCTGTTTTATATATTTAAATATAAATATTAAATTAAATAATAATTAAAAAAATTGATGTATTTGAGTGTTCAATGTCAAAAAACAAATAATAAATAATTAGTTACTCTCTCCTATTTTTTTAAATGTCATTCTAGCCTTTTCAACTATTTGCCAAATAAATGTCGTTTTATATTTTGTACATATTTTTCCATTATTACCATTATTTAGCGAATAAATACATTACGTCTTTTCATACACTCTTCACTTTTTTCTCAAAATATTCATCCATATCTTTATTAAATAACGTTATTATTGACAAAAAATATTTTTAATTAGTTGCAACTTCTCAAAACGATATATATTAGATATATATTAGATGGTTGAAAAAATCTACCACACCACACTCAAAAAAACCTAAAGATTTTTATTAGATGTTGAAATACTTTTGTCATTCTTTTTCCAGAGAAATACTTTTGTCATTCGAAAACCCAAATTCCTAATTCTCTCTTGGAGAGGCGATTCTCTCATGGAGAGGCGATTCCTTTGAGGAAGGAGAGTTTGTTTTTCTTTGGCTTTCTTCTGTTCGTTGTTGTTCATTCTAATATTGGGGTGTGAGTTTTCGGGTAGTCTGTCAGCTATGGATGATAATATTGGGGCAGATGCAGAATTGGGGGCTAGGTTACAAAATATCTGCCTGTCTCATTCAGAAGCCAGAGGGGTTGAAATTGGGGTCGAGGATGTTAAAATTAGTGAAGAGGAATGTAGTAGAAGTCTTCTGGGGAGAATTATTGGGGATCGGAAAGCTGGGCTTTTCGGGATTCATCGTACTATGCGAGCAGTGTGGCAGACGTCGTTACCAATTGAAGTTAAGGAGTTAAGCCCTAATTTTTTTCAGTTTATTTTTGGGAGTCAAGAGGATAAGCTGAAAGTGATGGCAGGTATTAATTGGGTATTTGAAAACCAATACTTGGTATTGCAAGAATGGAAGGCAGGGCTTAATGCAGAAGCACAATGTTTTAAAGAGTTGACGCTCTGGGTGCAAGTTCATGGGGTTCCGTTGAATTGGCTCAGTTCGGATGTGGGTTTGAAGATAGGTAAATTGTTCCCGAAGGTTAAGAATGTTGCAGTTATAAAAGCTGGAGGGATGAGAGGTAGTTATATCAGATTGCTTGTGACAGTTAATATCGATGAACCATTGATGAGGTGTACTCATGTGAAGTTGGGACAAACTGTGATTGGGGTTCGATTTCAATATGAGAAGCTGGTTAATTTTTGCTTCTATTGTGGTTTGGTGGGACATCTGGAGCGTAACTGTAAAAAGAGAGAGAAGGACATTGAAGAAGGGGTGATGTCTGAAGGGCAGTTTGGTGATTGGATGAAAGCTGAAGCTCCCCCATTTGCTCTTCGGAATTCAGGCTCTCCAACTTACTCTCATCCATCAAACACCTCAAATGGCGGTAGTCCAGAATTTAATAGTGCAGACCAACAATCGATGGGAAGTGTGCAGAGTACAGATAAAGCTAAGGATGGGTTGAGTGCTGAGTCAAATGACCAGAGGGTGCAGAAATCTTTATTAGTTGTGTCTTCTCCGAGCGGGACGTTGAACCTTGATATGACTTCTCCTATGGTTACTGAGACAGGTTCTTTATCTAAAGAAATTGTGGCGGCTCATCATGTCATTAGTCCTGGAATCCAGGATTGCCCTCCTCCCATTATGCTACAGTTCACTGACGATGGCAGCGGGCAGAATGCTGTGGCTATTAACAGTAAAGGGAAAGGATTAGCATGCACTGAATCCAGCAAGCCAAATCATATGTCATGGAAAAGGCAAGCTAGAGCAGTTGGTAGACTGCAGAGGAACCAGCAGGGGTCAGAAGTGGTTGAGAAGGAAAAGCAGCTGGTTAAAAGAACAAGGCAACATGGTGATGAGCAAGAGACTGAGGGGAGTCATTTACATCCTAAGAAGAAATTAATGCACAAACAGCTTCAATCTGATAAGGTGGAGGTAGCCAGCCAAGAGTGGCCCCATGTGAATCAATGAAGATCATCTGGTGGAACTGTAGAGGTCTGGGAGGGCCCTCTACAGTCTCCCAATTGAAGGATGCTTTTAGAATCCATCTCCCAAGTTTTGTGTGTATTTCTGAAACTAGAAAATCAAAAAAATTTGCTGAAACTGTGTGTAAAAAGTTAGGGTTTGCTGATAGATTTGTTGCTGTTGATCCTATTGGTATGAGTGGGGGTCTTTTGATGTTGTGGTCTTCTGATGTGGAAGTAATTACAATTATCCATCACTCTTTTTGTATCCAAGTGGAATTCTCTCAACCAGAGTGGACTGAGTCTAAATGGCTGATTATGGTGTATGGTAGTGCAGATAAGAGGAACAGAGAAGCTCAATGGAAATTGCTTGAGGAAGATAAGAATATGTGGGGAAATCAGTGGTGCATAGGAGGGGACTGGAATGAGATATGTGGCAGTTTTGAGAAGAAAGGGGGAAGGGCTAGATCAGAGAAGAGCTGTGAAGGTTTTCTGCAGTTTATAGCCAACATGGGGATGCAGGAAAGTACTATGGAAGGATACCCTTTCACCTGGGGTAACAATAGAGAAGCAGAGGGATTTGTGGAGGAGAAGCTGGATAGAGTATTTGGGTCATTTGGCTGGTTGGTAGCTGATCCAGGAGCTAAAGTCTTCACCCAATTCAAAAGCTCATCTGATCACTTTATGTTGATATTGGAGTCAGGTATTTCTAAACCTAAATTCAAAAAAAGGTTTACCTTTGATAAGAGATGGGTTAAGAGGAAGGAGGTGGTGGAGGTTGTTTCTCAGGCTTGGGAGGAGAGGGCAGAGGGAACTCCAATGTTTTCTTTTAAGGAAAAACTGAAGAAAACAAGGATGGCTCTAACCAAGTGGAGCAAAGCCTTAAAAACAGATAATGCCAAGACAATTGAGAGGCTATCTCTTAGCCTGGAGGAGATGAGAAGGTTGGGTGGCCAGAGGAACTGGGGTGAGTGGGAGAAACTGAAGAAAGAATTGGATGAAGCACACTTGGCTGAAGAAGAATTTTGGCATCAAAAAGCCAGAGTGCAATGGATTAAGGAAGGGGATAAGAACACAAAGTTTTTCCATGCTCTTACAATGCAAAGAAGGAAGGTGAATGCTATTTCGAGACTGGTGGATGACAACTTTGGTGTAGCTTCATCTCAAGAGCAAATCGAGAAGTGTATAGCTGATTTCTATCAGCTGCTGTTTACTAGTGAAGGGTCTGAGGGGGAGCAGGATGTCTTGAGGTTGATTCCTAGAACTATCACTGAAGAACTTAATGACAAGCTCATTGCACCAGTGGATGAAGAAGAAGTGAAAGCTGCTTTATTTTCTCTTAACCCCAACAAAGCTCCAGGGGAGGATGGTATGACTCCACTTTTCTTTCAACATTTTTGGCTGATAATCAAGGATGATCTGTGTTCTGCTATTTTCAGTTTCTTTGAATCTGGAAGGTTATTGAAGAGTTGGAATCATACTGTTATTACATTGATTCCTAAATGTATGAATCCTACTTCTCTTAGTCATTTTCGCCCTATAAGTCTATGCAGTGTTTCTTATAAAATTATTGCCAAGATTATTTCTGTGAGACTGAAAGAGTGTCTGAAGTTTTGTGTTCATGAGAGTCAGTCTGCTTTTATTCCTGATAGACAGCTGTTGGACAATGTGGTGCTGGCTCAGGAGGTTATTCATTACCTTAATAGACACAGAAATGGTAAAGTCAGTTTTATGGCGGTTAAGCTTGACATGATGAAAGCTTATGATAGAGTTGAGTGGAACTGTGTTGTGAAAGTAATGCTCCAGATGGGTTTCAATTCAATGTTTGTTAAGTGGATTTTTGCCTGTATTTCATCTTCTGCCTTCTCCTTCAATGTTAATGGTAGAGTTTCTGGCTTTGTTGTTCCTTCGAGAGGGTTAAGGCAAGGAGATCCCATTTCTCCATACCTATTTATTCTGATATCTGAAGTGTTCTCCAAATTGATCTTGCAAGCAAATGGTAGTGGAGAAATGAAAGGAATTTCTGTTACAAAAGGAGGTACTGCTTTAACTCATTTATTATTTGCGGATGATTCTCTACTATTCTGTGCTGCGGATGTGCAAAATGCCTCTTGCTTGCTGAATATTTTGTGGAAATATGAGAGGTTTAGTGGTCAGAGAGTTAATTTACAGAAGTCCTCTGTGTTCTTTAGCAGAAATGCCTCTCCTCAACTGAAATCAGACATTTGTTCTTTGTTAGATGGGATAGCTGTGTGTTCTTCTTCTAGATATCTTGGGTTGCCTTTGGGGATTGGCAAGACAAAGATTGAGGTGTTTGATTTTGTTCTAGATGCTGTGAAAAAGAGATTAATTAGTTGGAAGAACAGGTTTCTCTCCACTGCAGGGAAGGAAGTGCTGTTGAAATCTGTGATAAATTCTCTTCCTATATTTGTTATGTCTTGTTTCACTTTGCCTGTGAGTGTGTGCAAGCAGATTTCCAGTCTCAGTGCAACTTTCTGGTGGTCTAAGGGGGCTGATCAAGGGAGGGGCTTACATTGGATGGCATGGAACAAGGTGACTACTCCTAAAGAAGCTGGGGGTTTGGGGTTTCAAGACATTAGACTTTTCAATGATGCTCTGATTCTTAAGCAAATATGGAGGCTTCTTACCAAACCCAACCTGTTGTTGACAAAAGTGTTAAGAGAGAGATACTTCCCCTCTGGTTGTGTGTTAGATGCTAAATGCACAGGCTCTTCTTCCTGGGTTTGGAGCTGCTGGAGTAAAGTGCTAAAAATTCACAGGCAGTGTTTTGTGAAGGAGATCAAGGATGGGCTTACTACTTTGGTGTTGTCTGACCCTTGGGTTCCTTCTTTGGATAATGGCATCCCTTTAGTTGCTGTTGATGCTCAAATATCTGAATATCTGAGAGTTGCTGATTTATTAGAAGATGGAGGCAGAAGTTGGGATGCATCTGTTATTAGGAGAATATTTACTTCCCATTCTGCTGAAGCTATTCTGAAGATCAATAGTATGGATCCTGCAAAGAGAGATAGATGGAAGTGGTCTGGAGATCCTAATGGTTTATTTTCAGTTTCCTCTGCTTATGCAAAAGCTATGGTGAAGAAAGTACTGGGATTGGATTGTCCTCAAAGCAGTAGGGCTGGTAGCAAAGATAAAGAAGCCAGACTTAGATGTTGGAAGCTTAGAGTGAAGATGAAGGTGAGACACTTCCTGTGGAAAGGTATCACTAATTCTTTGCCAACTTGTATTAATCTTTGTCAGAGGGGTGCTGCTGTGGACTGGATTTGCTCTGTTTGTGGGGCAGTGGCTGAGACAGCAATGCATTTGTTTTTTGAGTGCTCTCGGGCTGAAACCGTATGGAAGATAGCCCCGGTCTCTTGGGATGTTCCTAAGGCAGGTACTATGGATTTTAGGAGTTGGTGGTGGTGGATTACTGACTTGAAAAAGTCTGCTGTTTCTGAAGCCCGTATTCAGTTGTCGACTTATATTTTATGGTGGCTTTGGAAGGCACGGAACCTGTGGGTATTTAAGAAGACTTGGTTGTCGGAGCAGATTATTATTAAAGAGGCTGTGCGCGAATGGAGCGAGTTTGTGGATTTGGGGGGGTAATTGGGGAGATTTGTGGCTTGAGCTAGGTTCTTATGTTCAGTGGTTCTAGCTATATCTCTTTGATGTTTGTTTAGTTTATGTTGGTGGTGTTTTGTTTATTTTGGTTGTTTCGGGTTTGTTTTCATCTGGTTTGGATTGTTGCTGTCCTAAGGGCTCAATTTGATGTAATTGCCTTAGGTATGAGCTTGGGTTTTAGGCCACCGTTGGTGTGGTTCTCCTTGTATTTAGTGTTAAGGCTAGTCGGCCTCTCGTTTGTAAAACTTTTATTTGGTATGAGAATTTCTATCGTTGGAAAAAAAAAAA